AACAATGGCTCAGTGTGTGAGAACCAGCTTAAACCCACCCAAAACCCTCCTCCGCAACCCCGCTAAATCCTCACCAGTTTCCAGTCCCTTGTTTCATCTACCAAAATCAAAGAAACACCCAAGAATCTCCATGTCACAACAAAATCAACAAGAATTGTCCCTTGATTCTCTAATCAACAGCACCCGCAAAGAAGAGGTCCTTGGTGCCATCAAGGGCTCTTTGTCTAACTGTCTCTGGGAGACCAATCTTCTTAAGACTGTCCCTGCACTCAAATCCAAAGTTAGGGGCAAGGTAATCGTAATTTGATTCTCTTTTTTCTCTTTACTTTCTATTACAACAATACCAATAATGTTATGATTGACAAAGATGATTAAGCAGTTTGGTTTCTGTTGTAGGTGAGAGATATATATGATGGTGGGGATTATCTTGTTTTGGTCACAACGGATAGGCAGAGCGCATTTGATAAAATTCTCGCTTCTATTCCCTTCAAAGGACAGGTCTGTTCACTAGAGCCCGTGCTTGATTAAACTCGAATATAGTAAATATGTAAATTTTGTCGGAAACTTTTTAAAATTCGTAGTATCTTACTTTCAGGTTTTAAATGAGACCAGTCTATGGTGGTTTGATAGAACTCGGCATATAACCCAGAATGCTATTGTATCAGCTCCCGATAAAAATGTCACAATTGCGAAGAAATGTTCTGTTTTTCCTGTTGAATTTGTTGGTAAGTACGAGTTTTTGGGTGTTTGAGGTTGAATATGGTGATTAACAATTAATTGATTTTAATTATGTTGCGAATTTGTAGTTAGAGGTTATGTGACTGGAAGTACTGATACGTCACTATGGACGGTTTATAAAAATGGTGTCCGGAATTACTGCGGCAATGCCCTCCCAGACGGTGAACTTCCCATTTCATCAGTTGGCTCCTCTTTATATATTTATACATATGCAATAACTATCAAATGTTGCAACTGATCCATTACTATTTTACAGGCTTGGTAAAAAGCCAAAAGCTACCTTCAAATATACTCACTCCAACTACCAAAGCTGATGATCATGATGTTCCTATAACCCCTGAGGAGGTTCGATCTTGTATGCCAATTTGGACTTCGGAAAGAATAATGCTAGTGACACTAAACTTTTGTTACTAAATTCTCTTACTAGCTGTGGAATTTTCATCAAGGAAAGTTCTTTTCACAATAACTCACTGCCATCCAAGTTTCTGTCACGTAGCTGATTTATGGGATTTTATTGTTTTGGCCTTATTTCAGCTTCTTTGCTTATTGGTCCATCTCGTTCACTTGCCTTTACTTGCAGATAGTTAAAAGTGGACTGATGACTGAAGCTGATTATTGTGAAGCCAGTAGTAAAGCGTTGAGCCTGTTTGAATATGGGCAGGTGAGCTTGTTTTTTAACTTGTTATTTTTTTTCCTTGTGTGGTTTTGTTTAGTGAAGCCTAATGGCTCAGACTGTTTTGAGGCTTCATGAATCAACAATTAGAAATGTTTTATGGAACAGTGATGATCCATACAAAACCTTTCTAGTAGCTCTATTTAGTATCTTTACTAATACTATTTACTGGATACAGTGTTTATTTTTATTTGCAATATCAGGAATTCTGTTGATCCCATGGGTCACTCTCTATGACTAGTGAATGACTTTACCATAGGGGCATGTTAACTATCGTATTGATAAGACAAACTTCAAGTATGTGAGGCTAGCTGATCAGTTTTAGCTGTTATTTAACTTTTAACTGATTCTGAATTCAAGTATGACTTTCAGTGTTTCCTCCAAAATTCTATTTGCAAGAAGGCATTTATTCTTTTTTTGCTCATGCTGACTATTACCTGATGGGCTTTATAATTGCCATTTAACTAGCTCAATGATTTCTTTGGAATTGCAGCGTGTGGCTTTAGAGCATGGCTTGATATTAGTAGACACAAAATACGAATTTGGAAAGGGCTCTGATGGCTCAGTTCTATTGATTGATGAGGTATGGAACTATGTGAACCATAATATTCATGGCTCTCCCACATTCTTTGTGATAGCTCACGCACATGCAGTAAGTCATGCACCCTGCACCTAAAAAATTGTTGTGTTGTCTCGTCTTGAAATTTTAGGTTCATACACCTGACTCAAGCAGATATTGGATTGCCCATTCTTATGAGGAGCGGATTCAGAAAGGCCTCGAACCTGAAAATGTGGATAAGGTGTGTTTTTGGGTTTTAAATGTTTGCTTGTTCTATCTCCTCATATTTGTGTGTCCATTTGCGAATAAATGTCTAGGTATGCACCATCTATCTTCTCAACTGTGTTTGGAGCATTGTTATGGACTTTTTTTCTTTACTTTCTGGAAGCATGATAATACCTGACTTCATAAAGATTTGATGTTTCTTAGGAGTTCTTGAGGTTATGGTTCAAGGATCACTGCAATCCTTATGAAGACAAGGCAAGTCAACTTAAAAAGTGGAATTACATTTGCATCGATTGCACCTGTTCTCAAATGCTAAATGTCTTGTCAATGCAATATTTAGGTCCTACCTGATGCTCCTGAAGATCTTGTTTGTGAGCTAGCTTGGCGGTAAGTATTTTATGTTATTGGGCCTTTATTGAGGTCACTATGCACAGGGAATTTAAAGAGCAAGATAGTTACTGCTAAAGGGGTTCCGAAAACCTCCGAAATCCAATGGTCTATTTCCAAAAACTCTTCTTCCAAATGTCATATATTGTGAGTTGATGAAAATGTCAGGAGTATTCTTGCCTATAACCAGACAAAATATGTTCTACTCCACCTTAACTAGTAAGTCTTTTATGTTATTGGACCTTTATTCAGGTCACTATGTACATGGAATTTAAAGAGCAAGGTAGTTACTGGTAAAGGGGGTTCCGAAAACCTCCGAAATCCAATGGTCTATTTCCAAAAATTCTTCTTCTGAATGTCATATATTGTGAATTGATGAAAAATGTATGTTCTAACCACCTTAACTAGGATTGTTTTCTGATTACCAATCTAATCTGAAATTCCCCTGTTCTCTTCCATTTAATGGCGAGAGGGGATTACACTCCCATTTAGGTCAAAGCATTTGTCACAGTAAGATTTATTGAGTGCAATGTGTTGATACTGACTGGAATTTCCCCATTCCAGTTCATTTCTTCATTCCCAGGATGAAAATTGACTTATTGCATTCTTTATGAATGGATTTCTTCATTTCCAGGATAAAAATTGACTTATATTTTACTGTGTAGTTGAAGTAACCACTTATATTGTACTGGGTAGTTGTTTCCTGGAACATAATGTCCAGTTTATCAGGTTTCTTTATTCTTTGTGATCACTTTAGTGATGAAGATAAGGAAAGAAGCTTTTTTGAGGGTCACACCTTATATCTGGCTGGTTATGATTGCTTGTTAGTCATTGTAACTAGTTCATATTTGTGTAGTTGTTTCAGCTGTGTGGGCATATTTAATTCTGATCATTATGTGAAGCTGCCTTCTGATTGCAGGGTGCTAATTCCCTATATAGTTCAATTCTTTATGAATGAATTGCATAGTGCTTGCTGCTCGGTCTGAATATATAATAAAAGTTTATGATTTGACTTGAAATTATGTTGCCTTTCATAAATTATGTCAGTGCCAGGATATCTGCAAAATGAGAAACTAGAATTGAAGTCTGAATATTCTGGCTAAACATCTTCTTGCCAGCCTTGATTTTTCATTTATTGCATCCTTTTTTGGAAAGCAGAGACTACATAATATATTACATGGCCATAATACAAGAAGTAGAGTCCGTACACACCAAGCATATGTAATTTGTTTATGCTGTGTTGCTCTGGAATTTCTATTTCAAGGTTGTCCTGACAAAGTTGGTTTCTAAGTTTCATTTTATTTGTAATTTCTGACAATACTTGCAAAACTCACTCCCAACAATTTTCATGCTTCTTTTGCCATCATGTTTCATGTTAGTTGGCTGACCCTTCCCTTTGGTAATAGGTATATTTTCTTGTATGAGACAATAACAAAATCAAAATTTGAGTTGCCATTGACAGAGGTAAAACTCATTTTCAGCAGACATACTTATGCCACCAAGCAATGTAACTTGTTTTTCTTTCATGCTTGTGATGAAATTGACAGAATTTTGCCTCTTCCCTGCAGGAGCCAATACATGATCGGATCTCAAGAAATGTTGAACTAGCATTATCATCCTTACGCTGAACTTGAAAAATTGGAGGTCGCTTCTCTCTCTGCTCGAAATCATACCAAAGAGTTGATCCAAGCTCTCTTCTTTTTGACATTTTTCACTGGCATTTGATCATGTCTCTCTTCTTTTAACATTTTTCACTGGCATTTGATCTTGTGTGGAAGTAGTCAGATCTGTAATGGAACTTTTCCTTTTGGGTCAATGTGGTTTCGGTGGGGCAGGCATCAGAAAGTGAATTCCAGGAAATCCTGATAAACTGGACACTATGTCCCTAACAGGAGAAAATCTTAATTACAAGATTGTTCATTAGAAATCCTGCAGTATACGCTGGCATTGTGCATCATTCAGAATCTTAGTTTTGGTGAAGCAATTGGTTCTCATGCTTGTTGACATCTGGAATGGTTGTTTTTAACTGATTAAGTGAATTTATGCCTTCATGCTAATCCGAAGACTATTATGTTGCAATATGTTTTACGCAGCTTAATTATTTTTAAGCTTCCTCCACTGTCCAGCTGAAACATGCTGAACGAAAGGAGAGATGCTAGGACGCTTTCATCACAGATTGCCACTATAGGCACAAACGAGACATTATTAAGTAGCATTGAGAACATTCTTGGAATCTCACTCCACATATTAGGTTATATGCATATAATTTAGCATTACAAGCCTGATAATTTCTTCGAAGGAAAACCAAAATTTAGGGTCACTCATTAAATGCATATGCATATAGTGTTGTATCAAAGCAATAATCAATTCACATTATAGTAAAAACTTCAAAGAGGTAGTGTTTTTACTTCATTCAGACTCATTGTTACTCATTGTTATGTAGATTTTATTAATGAATTTTTTTAAAATTATTAATTTGGTTCTTGAACTTTTATTTTGCACTATTGAGTTTTTATGAACCAAATTATCATTCAATTGCATATTTTTTTTTTGGGAGGGAGGAAGGGTTGAATTGAAAGACAAGATTGAAGTAAAAAAAGCAGGTAAAATAGGTGATAACCTTGAGATTTATTTGAAAATTTCATTTTAATCTCACATAATTTTTAGCTATAAGATAATCAATCCTTTTAATTTAAAAAATTCAATTTTAGTATTAAATTTTATTTCTCTTTTTTAGTTTATTTTTGGTGGAAGAGAGAGGAGCTTGCTGGATTATGATTTTAGCTATCAAAATGGTTAATTTTTATGTTAAATAGTTTTATATGATAAAAAGAGTTAATGTTATGTTTTTTTTTTTAAATGTATATAAAAAACAAATTTGAGTTCAGAAATTTTTTTGATTTCAAGTTAATTTTGAGTTTTGAGATGTTTATGGAAGGCAATATAGTCCATGGATACTTAGAGAATCATTGAGGGAGGTTTAATATAGTTTATGGAAGAAAAAGTATTAATTAAATAATTAGTTTCATTATCAAATTAGGAATAAGTTATAATTAGCCTGTACCAAATTGTATCATTTTATGAAACACGGATTCTTACATGCATATGCATGTAATGTTTTGCTGCCCATCTATGTAGTTGAAACATCAAATTATACTATCAAAAAATTAACAAATATAAACAAAAATACCAATGGAATGTTAATTAGCTCTTACCAAATTGTATCATCTTATGAAAGAGTGATCTTTACATACACATGTAATTATTATATCGTTGTTACCTATGTAGTTATGTAGTTGTGACATCAAATTACACTATCAGAAAATTAACAAATATAAATAGAAATACTAACAAAATATTTATGTCGGTCGGTAAAATTAACAAATATAAATAGAAATACTGACAAAATATTTATGTCGGTAAATTGTAGTAAATTTTACCAATGGAATATTCACTCACTATATTCATTGGTAAACACTGATATAAATATTCTCTCATTATATACCGAGAGAATTACAGTGAAAAAAATAATTAAAATAAAACTAAAAAGTACAATGACATGTCATTTATACCGACAGAATTACCGACGATATTAGTATCACTGTTAATTCCGTTTGTAAACTCGTTGGTAAACCATTCACCAACGGATTAATTCTATCAGTATTTTCAAGAGAGCTTTGAAACTACTCACTTCTCAATTGCAATGTTAATTATTGTTATTTATAGATGAAATCACTAACGAATTGAAAAGTCATTAGTGATATTGGGAGGAGGGTTTCCACAAATTTTTGATTAAATTTAAAATTTAAATTAAATATTACAGATGGAATCACCGACGGATTGAAAAGTTGGCGGTAATATTTGGGAGGTTTCAGAAAATTTTCAATTAAATTAAAATTTTAAATTAAATATTATAGATGAAATTACTAATGGAATGATTAAAAATATTAATGTTTAATTATCCACTGGTAAAACAGTTAGTAAAATACCCTAATAAAAAGATTAGAATCTCTCATTTTATAATAGACACGCCTCTTCTTCTTCTTCTTCCTCTTCCTTCCTTTCCCTTATGTAAAAAACACCAACGTCCATTTCTTTCTTTCTCATCTCTTCTCTCGTCAACTACTTCTTTTCTTTTCTTTTCTTTTCCACGTGCAGGTATGTCTTCTCCTCTCTTCTCCTTTTCTTTTCTCAGTTTTTTTTAATTAACATACTTTATGAATTTTTTTTTCTCTTCTTAGCTTCACTCGCAATGACATTAAGATAAGATTTTTCTTTTTCTTCTCTTTTTTTTTGTGTTTTTTTGCATTATATATATATATATATATATATATATTTCTTGTTCTTAATAATTGTATGAATGTTGTTGCCAAATTTTTTTTTTATATGAGATCAATTTTGTTGTTTAATTTTAATTAAATTATTTTATTTGTTGTTGGATTATATGTTCTGAAATAGGTTTTCTAGGTTAGGTAAAAATTGTTTTTAGTTGATTTATTTATTTGTTGCAAATTTATTTGAGTTGATTTTCTTCTTCTTTTTTCCAAGCAACTCAATTCTTGAGTGTTGATTTATATTAATTTAATTATTTTTTATTTCCGTTAAATAGATTTTTTAAAATATTTTTAAATAGTGTATTACCGACGGATTAAATCCGACGTCGGTATATTATAGTAAGTTGAAAAAGAATTATTGCAAATGCCATTGTTTTATTATCGATAGATTTGCACATGGTATTTCTATTGGTTATATGGCAAAATACTCAAGGGAAATACCAATGGATTGAAATGGATAATTTTTTTAGCGTGCTTTTCCCGTAAGTAAATTCATCGATAATTTTATTATCGAAGAACTAATCGACAAACCAAAAATTATCAGTAAAAGTTTTAACATTTTAATCCATAAATTTATTAATAATAGAATAAAAATATAAATATGAAAGGAAAATTCTGTCAATAATTTTAAGAATTTTGGCAATGTCAAGCCTTTGTTACTATGCAACATGCAACAAATCCAACAACTCAGAGCTCAAAAGTAATGGGGAACAAATTTTGTACACAAATTAATACGGGCCCTATAAAAATTATTGATTTTTTATTTGGATAACAATAATACATCTTTTGTCAAACTTCTCATTGATTTTCTTAGCCACCAAACAATGTGTTTTGCATGTATCGTGGTATTCATGCTTGCTACATCAGTACACTGTCTCTCAGTATACTGTCTCTGTATCGTGGTATTCATGCTTGCTACATCAGTACACTGTCTCTCAGTATACTGTCTCTGTATCGTGGTATTCATGCTTGCTACATCAGTACACTGTCTCTCAGTATACTGTCTCTGTATCGTGGTATTCATGCTTGCTACATCAGTACACTGTCTCTCAGTATACTGTCTCTGTATCGTGGTATTCATGCTTGCTACATCAGTACACTGTCCGAGTTCGGCATCAATATTGGACATTCATACTTTAAGATAGCAAATTTCGTCACAACAAAATCTTATGGCCTTTATCTTTCTCCAGGTCGCCTTCGGTGCATCAGAGATGTTAAAGACTATTCTTTAATTTTGTACGAGATTTCTTATTATAAATCTATGTTTAGACATGTCACTTCACGTTCAAAAGTATTAATTTTGTTCAGATTTTTTCGATTACCCAATTGTTCTTGTTCATTTCTAATTAGCAATCAAATGACCTCGATTATTTTTGAAAATAATAGTAATAATAATATTAAAAAATTAGTTCAAACCTTCTAATTATTTTTTCATTTTATTTTATTATTTTGAAAAATTACAATTTATATTCTATAGTTCATAAGTTGTATAACACATTACATCTACACAAAAAAATCATTAAAAAAATAAAAATATTTACAAAATTATCATTATGTTCCATTTAAATTTTGATTATTAAAGAAATTTATATTAAATATTATAATTTACCATTAAATTAAAAAAATTATGGTATTGATGAAGTAATTAGTGACATCCTATTAATTATTCTTTAGACTGAAAAAAAAAAATTATAACGAGGAGAAAAAAAATCATAAGTGGAGATATTTTTATTATTTTTAGTAAGTTATGAGTTTTATCTTCTTTTTTTAATTTTTTTTCAAGATGGACCTAAAATATAATTAATAGAATATTACTATTTACTCCTGAACATGATAAGATTCTCCTTAAAAAAAACACCAAAAAACACCCAGCCACCACCCTGTTAATCCAATTTCTAAATCTTAATCCGAACGTCCCTAAATTCCTAATTTCATCAAATCAAACATAATTTATTGTTTGCCATCTCGCCAGCTCTCCCACATGACACCATGGCTAAACCTTGTGTAAATCTGGGCACTGTCAGTGAAAGGCTTAGTTTCACCAAGCCAAGTTGGCTGTTTGTTGGGAAAAGGAGGCACTATAATCTTAGAAATGCGTAAGGCAACCAGCACCAGCATTCCAGAATCTGGCCTTTAATATCGCAGAGAAAGGTTTCCCCATTTCTGTTTATATAATCGATCTACCTCAAAAGCTGTTGAGGCTACTGAGAGGGCTAAAAAAGAGGGAGATTTTCCCTTATATGGCTTCCATGATCCTGAATCTTTTGTGAAGTCAATCCAAAAGATGAATCTGTTGAATTGCGCATGCTTTAAGAGCTTCAGGTGGTGAGGAGAGGTGCACGTAATGGACCTTCTTTAATGCATGAAAGGCTTTCACTTAAATTGAAGACATTCTCATTAAAGAAGCAGCTCAAGTGGCTCCTGTGTGACATACATTGGCAAAGCTAGTTCGGGTAATATGGTGATCTGCAGTTGACTGTCGAAGCTTATGATGTACTAAAACCAGTTGGAAAGAAGCAGCATGACTTGCCAAAATACATTTTATGGCATTTGTGTTGATGAAATTATAAAATTAGAGTATTATATTTTGAATTTTGAGTTGCTAAAAAATATAAAATGTAATTTCTCAAAACACAAAGGTAAAATAAAAGATTAATTAAATTATAAAAGACTCAATGTAATTATTGCTAATAAAAAGCATCTTATTACCGAACATACATTTATATAACTTCAACCTCTATTTTAGCTTGGTACCAAGGACGTGCAGGCTTGTAAGGGAGAGTGATTATGTGACAGCGATACCCTATTAATATGCCAAATTTCACCCATTAATTCAGATAGCATAGCAGCTTGTAAGTTTCCGATGTCATCTTTCTTAAAGTGTATTTTAGATAATAAAAACTGTAAAGCTTAAGAGCAAGCTGGTGGAATAATAAGTTTGAGCATAATCAACTGACATAATGTACAGCAAATACCAAACGTACATACCCAGATACCCTCATTATTGCAGAGGCCAATGACATTATATATATTTCGTTCCACTGATAATTTTGCCCTTGCAATGGTTTAGCTTTGGGGTTTTTCCATGATCTGAAAGGTTTGATTGGGATTCACGTACGGCATAAGACCTGGAATAATAGGCTTAATAGTCTCAGTAGTCTTGATAATGGCCAAGAACAAAAGTCTATAAAAGACAACCATCCCTAGCAAGATTGCTAGGTCAACCCATTTAGAGGAACCCATTTCCATTTGCCAGACATCCCTCAAGATTTCTTCGCCGTTTATCAGGCCATTACCTTGATAATTGGAGAATTTTAGCCCTTCAAACTCGTTCTTGAACATACCTTGGTAGGCATATCTATGGAAAGCAACATAGTATAATGGATACTTCCAAAATGGCTTAGGAAGATCATCTGGCAATCTAAAGAACCCACCACCTAAAACCATAAGCCCTTGAATTCCAGCCCCTGTTATGATTCCCATTAGGAAATTAGGTACAATACTCGCCACAGCCATCATCATACTCTCAACCATTAACAGGCAAGCAAATAAGGTGGAAGCGAAGTATAGAAAGTGTTCATATCCTTTGTGAAGGCCGGAAGGGTAGTAAGCTATAGCTCCAGGAATTAGTGAGATCAGTAGCAAAAATGGTATAGCAGAGAACGTGTTGCCGATAGCGAAAGAAGTGGCACCATAGTGCCCATTTAATCTTTCACGTTCAAATACCTGATTTCGTAAGAAAAGAAGTTAGTAAATTAATTTGTAGATGCAAGAAAACCCATTACATTAATCGCAAGACATATTTACTAGAGGTGGGAAGATCGACCTTCATTTCTTCCACAAAAGAAGGAAATCCACCGATGGCCATGAATGTTAGGAACGTAGATACGAACATAAGAAGTGACCCTCTAGCCTGATACAAAACAGATTAGAAGATTTAGGTTGTATTGGATGGTTAGATAAGGGCCTAACTCACTCTATTATGCAATATATTTTACATTTACCTGAATGGAACCATAACTAGAGCCAAGATCATGATAAATGGAGGAAAGACCATAACCCAATCCAACATAGATAGCTAGGCGTAACCAGTAGTATCCCAGATCACGAAACATGTTCACGAAAGATCTTTTTGTTAGAACAAGAGACTGAGTTAGAAATCCAGCATGGTCTCTCCTGCTCTCCAATGCTTCAAAATGCTGAAAACCACAGTTTAAGTACTCCTTTCGAACTGCCTTAGACATGTCTAGTAAACATATCTGTGTCAAGTGCTGGCTTACCTCTTTACATATTTCTTCTACCTTTACTTGAACTTGTTGCCAGTAATCGGAGGACTTGTATGATTTTACAAGGATGTTAATCACTTCCTCTTTGGGGATTGCATCATCTAAGCCTTGTTCAAGATCCTAGTTTCAATAAAAGAAGTTAGAACTACCGATGAAATACTACTACAGTAAAGGCCTTTTGAGTGAACTTACCTTCTCAAAGTCCTTGTTTATGGTGTTGAGGAAGTGATCGGATGGGTTTTGGAGCGGCGGGCAAGGGAAACTATTTAAAGCGAAAAACTACATGTAATCGAACCAAAGAAAGAGATATTAGTTGTCTCATAATTAGCTGCTCCAGCCGTGCAATTAACCTCTTAAAAAATAATTTATCCTTACCTCGTTTGCTGCAGAAGCAGGGCCAAAATATACTGTTTTGCCTGAAGACAAAAGGCAAAGATTGCTAAAAAGTTGAAATACTTCACTGCCAGGCTGATGAATGGATGCAATGACAGTTCTTCTAACGCCATCTTTGTGATCTAACCTTGCAATTCCTCTCATGACATAATATGATGCTGCACTATCAAGCCCACTTGTCGGTTCATCAAGGAAAAGAAGTTTTGGATGCGTTAGGATCTCTATGCAAATACTGACTCTCCTCTTTTGACCACCACTAAGGCCTTTAACTCCCCACCCTCCTATTCTTGTATTCATAGCATCTTGCAATCCCATCTCTCTTATTGTCATCTCCGCTCTTTCCATCTTTTCTACCTGTGACATTGAGTCTGGCAACTGAAGCTGAGCTGAGTAGTACACAGCTTCTCTAACCGTTAAAGTTGTAACCAAAGTATCATCTTGTGTCACATAGGCCTAGTTAACATTGAAATCATAAAAAATCAACAAAGAGTCAAATATTGCTATGTATACCTCATGTGATTGATTCTGTCAAGAGGATCTAGCGCTAATATTCAAGAAAACATGCATATCTAAATACATTTCTTCTGTTAATCATCCACTCACCGATGTTCCATAAGCCAATGCTTGCTTATGACCATTGATAAGAATCTCTCCTACTTGCCTTGTGTTGGAACCTAGTCTCCCTGCAAAACAAATTGGTTTGAGGAATTTGAACGGGCATATTTATGCCCGGGATTGTGCACGAGCCTAATTTATCACGATGAACTCCCATACATTATATATATATATTTTAAAAAGATGAGCATGAATTTGTTACCAGCTAAGGCATCAAGAAGTGTAGATTTGCCGCAACCTGAAGGACCCATTATAGCTAGGAGTTCTCCTGGTTGAGCATAACCAGTTAGACCTTGAAGGATTGGCCTGCTTCCATGTTTTCGATTGGGGACTGTAACACACAAATCGTTCCAAGTCAAGAAAACACCAGGAGTACTTTTAGCCGAGTCATTAACAGCATTTTCACTAATGGTTTCCACTTCCAATGCGGTTTGGAATTCAGAACTTTTCATGGATGCTGTTGGACCACTTTCATTCGGTTGAGTCGAAGGTTGAAGAAAAGAAGCCATAAAGGGTGGTTCCTATGTATTTATGTCTCTTTGAGCTTGTGTATCTGTGTGTGCAGGAGCTCAAAGAAGGAGAGAGTTCAGGTTGAGGTTGCTGAGCAAGGCTTAAGGGTAGCATTGATTTATAAGGGGGTTTTGAGTTGCTATTCATTAGAAAAATGAAAAAAAAAATAAAATTCGAAACCAGAGACAGAGCATTGTCGTTTATCAAGGTATCATGGAATTATCTTCTAAGAGGATTGGCTAAAAAATCGAAGCTTTAACAAAAAAAAATTCTTGTTGTTTTAAGAATATATATATGAAGACGAAAAGATTGATGTCTTCTCTCAAGTGCAGGAGTGTCAAAGTAATAAATAACCCAGCAAGACCGGTGTCGAACCACAGGGAGACTAATTATACAAATTATAAACAACAATAATAGCAATAACAACAATAACTATAATAATAATAATACTAGTAGTAGTAGTACTAATAATAATAATAATAATAATAATAATAATAATAA